AAGAAAAGATATGTAATGAATCGATTTTATTTTTATTCTTTTAATGTTTTGAAGGTAGCAATTGTAACAAATATGGTGCCCAAGTCACAGGAGAAAAAATTTTCTCGGTCAAGTTTTAGCTACGGAAAACAACAATAGGTAAAAAAAAAAAAATAGTATGTATATATAGATATTTGATATTCTTATACGATAAAATATATTATGTGTTTTATAATAACTCAAATTAATTGTCAATGTCACAGCCTATCCGCGAATTCAATATGAAGAAATACGTCAAATGACGACGAAGACCATTGAAAATTTCATTGGTAAAGGAAAATAAGACAGAGTATTTAAAGGTGTACTCGACTTGGATGATGAATGTTATTATAAGAGATATTGCGGTCAAAGTGTAACTAATTGAAAATAAATGTAATGTAGCTGTATGCGTTCCATTGGTGGGAACATGTTTTACGAGTGACATTTTCGTAATGAAGTACGTAACGCGAACTCTAGAAAAAATACTAAAAACTGAAGAAGGAGGAATTATAGGTACGTTTTTTATATACAAAATATTAATCTATTTTTTGACGATCACATGTAAAAAGATTAACATATGTGCAATGATACTTTGTTTTGTATGAATCCAACTAATAATAATATATTGTTATGTATGAGCACATTAGTTAGTTTTTGTCGTTTTATATTATTTGAAAATTCATACAACTTACTAACATAATTGAAAATGTTTTATTTTTTGTAGCATTTGAGTTGAATTAGGCTCGAACTCTAGGAATTTTGAAGCAACTAGCAAATGAGATTAAAGAATGTGAATGAAGACAATGTGCTCAACTGCTCGATGAGGTAATAAGTATACTAATGAAGTCCACCTATATATAATTTGTGTTTATAATATATTATGTTGATCATATATTTCACAATATTCATTTATGAACAACTACATGAATACAATGTGTTCTTGTGTAATTTTGGTTCCACAATATAATTAACTTATTGTCTATGATCAACTTCATATTAATATTACACTCATAATCAACTTGTTGTGTATGATCAATTTATATTTCTATTAAGGTAATATAATCCACTTGTTATTTTTATTAATGTAATACAATCAACTTTATTATGATCAACTTCATATTAATATACACGCATTTTTCATCAATCATAGATATAGTAACTTCAATTGAACAATGAAAAATAAGAACAAATAAAATATGAGATAATTAGAAAATATATATAAGAATAAACTCAGGGAGAGAAAGAACAAAAAATAAGTCAATTCTTGAAAATTTTGAATTATCGTGTATCCATTCTAGCTGGAGTTGAGAAAGAACGTCAGTGTCATGCCTATTCATAATGCCTTGATGCAATCGAATTGTGACGAGAAAAATGTGAATGCTCGTTCATGGATCGAAACAATCGGGGTATTCTATCTTCAACCAAATCATTCAGTTACAACGAATTAATTAATGACATTCTGCAGCTAAAGAAAAACGAAAAAAAAAAATTGATGCAGTAACGCCGGTAAAACTCACCGTCGACGATTGCTGTTGTTGGAGGATTCTGATTATTTGAGCCGGAGAGAAGCAACGGCGATAACAGAGGGAAGGGTTACACTTAGTGGTGTGGTGGATATGTAGAACGGGAGAATGTGTTTTAGGGGTTTATCGCTACAGGAATTATGAGCATGCCGTTTCTGCTTATACGTAAAAGTGCTTTTGATCAACTTATCAAAAACAAAAACACAATAAGAAGTGCTTTTCGATCAAGTAAAAAAGTGGTAATTTCTTGTCTAAGTAGTGCC